AAGAAAGAAAGAAAGAAAGAAAGAAAGAAAGAAAGAAAGAAAGAAAGAAAGAAAGAAAGAAGAGTAGGAAAATGAAATTAAAGGAAGAAGGAAAGGAAGTAGTGAAGGAAAGTACCAAGGAAATAAGTAAGGACAGGAAGAATGTGAGGAAAACAGGAAGCAGGACAAATAAAACAACAGTGAGATCAACCACATAATATTTATTTTTTCTTTTCTATTACCTGGAAATAAAGTTCTAGAATTTTTTTTTTTTTCAGAAGAAGGGGGACGTAAAATGTCTAAGAAATTCATGAAAATCTTTAATCTAATTGTTATAATCTAATTAATATCTAATTATTATTATTCTGATCAATAAATAAATAAATAAAAAAAACAAAACATTCAGATCTTCATTCACTTTAGCTCACCGGAATCACAGTGCCATTTCACACTGATGCATCTCCCATTAGTACATCCGAACTGGGTCAGCGGTTCACAAGTTGGGAAATCTATGGAGGACAAGAACAACAACAAAATCAACACAGTGAAAGGCAAAGGACACTCCCCTTCCAAGTTCACTCAACTTCACAAGTCAACGTTGGGCCCATGCCAGAAGAAAATGTGAATAGAAGAAAAGCTTAGATTACGCCTTTGACTAACAACTTTTCACCGCCAAGAAAAACAAATGCAGAGTTTGTTTCTGCTGAACTTTGCACCGTCTGTCTTATCTCTCAAGAGACAGAAGCGCTAACCTGCCTCATGCGCATTTCAAAATAAACCGACAGTGGCGTCACACCACCTTTCAAAATTAAACATGCATTAGAAAAGACGTTCCCTGGTTACTGACAGGAAATATGTGGCAAACTGACATGGACTCGCAATACGGAGCAAGCGAGCAGCCGTGCGACGCCACGTGCTGTGACTCTACTGCGAACGGGGCGATGCTAAACATTTCTCAGATGGCACGTGGTTGGCTTTCCAGCTTGATTTTGATTTAAGGAAGCCAAGCATAAACTTTAATTACTCTATATGAGGATCGTGTGAGACCCTGGAACGGTACCTGAGGAAATTTAAACGGTAATAAGATGCGCCTACTAACACAGGAGAAAGCTTCAAACACACACTTCTTCCCTCAGAGGAAGAGAGGTGGAGATCTGCTGGTATTTCTCATCTCTCATTTACACAAGCTGAACGGTTCTGTCACAGACGACGCGATTACCAGTTCTGGCTAATATTTAGCTAAATGATTTGCATGGTTTTATACTGTATGTTGCTAAATCCCCTCTATGTATCATAAATATTTTTGGGCCTGGATCAATTTGCTTTGATGTAACAACCATATGTTATGCTAAAATTTTGCAAAAAATTTGACTTTGACAAGCCAAGAACAGTTTTTAAAGTAAATGGGTGCCTTCCATTCCCCCCATATGTTTCTCCTTTTCTCAGTCTGGCAGAAATGATGGGTGGTTCCAAAATACATGGTCACATGACAGTAAAAGTGTACAGTTGGCAAGAAATAGGGGGTGGGTCAACTTACCCACTGGCTCAACTTACCCCACTCTCCCCACAACGGGTTTATAGCAGGCCGTGGAGCGCTGAGATATTCAAAGCATGGTAATAAGCAGCATAATATCACAAAAAGGGATTCATTGTTCGTTTTTTTCTCTATATAATGACAATTTCTTTGACTTGTCTTTGTATTTATGATGAGGAGATCCCAGAATGTAATGCATATATATATATATACACTGGCTCAACTTACCCCACTCTCCCCTACTTCCATTGAAGATGAGGCAGAAGCAGGCTCAGAGAGTGAGGGAGAGCCCATTCTTATCAAAACATCTACAATAAAGTCTGAAATTATTACAGAGTGTGCTGTCTTCTCTTTTAATTGTATATTTGTAACAACTGGATCATTTGTATTAACAAGCACCCACCCCCCTAGTGCCCCTTTTTTGGTTTGGGCCACTGCCCCTCAAAATGTCTGTGCACGGCCCTGCATTGATGGCTCCATGAAGAACCATTAACATCCATGGAATCTTTCCATTGCCTAAAAGGCTCTTCAAAGTGGGGGGAAATAGGATTCTTTAGATTATTAAAATGTTCTTCACACTAAGAAATAAAAATGGTTCTTTTAAAAACTGTTCATCGAAAGGTTCTTTGGGGAATCCAAAATAGTTCTTGCATGGTGTCGCTGTGTATACAGTTGAGATATTGTTTGAATCTTTAAGATGAGCTGATTTTAAGGTGTCTGCTGGTTTCAAACTCTACTGAGGACAGTGGCACCAAATGGAAGCATGAAGACACATTGTGATTTTGTACCTCGTTTTCATTTTGTCGGCTTAATGTGATACACAATTCTCGTCCAAAAAGTAACATAAGGTGCGTAGATCCAAAATATACAATAATATAGAGATGAAAGAGATCCGCACTCATCCAGACTCAGCCAAAAAGGCTTATTACATTTATTGCTCAGAGGTCACAAAAATATGTACAAAAAAGTGCAAAGGTGCAGAACGTTTTTGGGTATTATGTGCAAAAAAGTGCAAATGTGCAAAAAGTTTTCAGGTATTAACTCTTCCTCAGTGCCATGTGCTACCAAGCAACACCTGCGCTCATTAAAAGATGTATTACCGTAATACACCTAATCTCACGAAGCTACAAAAAAACATATACATATCTCAAAACATATAACCAAAAACAGCAAATACATTTGTAAATCATCCAAAATAATCCATATATAACTACACAAACAAAATATACATACAAATATATACCAATAATACAATCTCATAACTCCAACAAAAGTTTTAAACATTAGTTTTTATATACAATAAATAGACATCATACCAAAATACTCGTTCGGGTCCCCCAAATATATCCTTAAATTATTATAAAAAACAATTCAAAGATAAATCACGTACATTTTTGAGGATTCCATTTGATATTCTCACATTGAGATACATTTTACCATGACTTTTCTTTGAGATTCTGGCTGCCACGCAACAAAGAAAGTCTATAACTCTGCTCATCCATTGGACCATTTTCACTTCAGAATGCAGAAAACCATCCAATAGGGTCATAGATCAGATGCGATCATGACAGCAGCAGGTGACCTTCACAGCTCAAATCAAAGCAGTTTGGTGAGAACGGAGTGTGCGACCTCCATGCAGAAAAACATCAAAAGATATCAAAGAGGCAACAACAGAGGAAATATAAAACAGAGCAGGCCTTTTTCTTTGTTTGTGTCAGGATGCTACAGAAAACACTTCAGATCTATGGTATCGTTTTGTCTGGGCTCTCAATAGCATGTCTATTGTTGTTAAAAGCCTCAGGCCATCAGATTAAACTGAACTCAAAACAGCACATCTGGCCTTGTACAAGGTTTCTTCTGTTTTGTAAAACTACAATGGGTGTCATTCATAAACAGAAGATGTATTTCTCTGTAAATCATTTGTAAAACGACAGACGTGTTCAGTTCAACGATTTTTACATAAACATAAAAGGATCTCATTCTGATAAAACCCTTAAAAACAAGAGCAAAAAAGAAATAGTGTTTTTTTTATCATGTTTCAATGCAATTAGCTATTTAATGCCATGCTCAAAGTATATAATAAGATAAAATAATGTACTACGGATTGATAAAAAGCCTCTAATTTAAATATACGGAGGCTTGACGATGAAAGAGACCAGAAAAATTATGATAGCAAACATAGAAGAACTTCAAAGCGCTCAACGTGAGGAAGACTCACCACATGTCGAAGACTCATCTGACTGATCCCCGCAGTCATCGTCACGGTCACAGCGCCAGTTCTCCGGGATGCAGCGTCCATTCTCGCAAGGAAACTGGCCCGGCTGGCATGTTTGGGCTGTGGGAAGCAAAAACACGGATATTAAATCACACCTGAATGGATGCTCGTTCAATCTCACTCCTGAATTTTGTATAAAAACCCAAGTAAGGTCATCAGAGTGTTGAAAAAGTTTGTTTGCAGCCTTAAACATAGATTATTATTATTATTATTATTTAATAAAAGATGAAACAATGATTTTAAGAATTATTTGAGAAAGTTTTTGAGAAATAATATAACAATTTAATATTAAAATAACAATAATTATTATATTAAGGATTTTTTTTTTTTTTTATAAAAGTAGGGTTTAAAAGTCTGAAAATCCTGTAGTCTTTCTTTAAATGTAATACAAAACTTTTAATTCTAAATTACATTATCACCATAACTAGGAATAAAAACCTAAAAAAAAACAGATACATTTTAATATTTTTTCTTGAACACTTTCTAAAATAAAAGTATGAGAGCACTAGTAAAAATACTTATTTTATTTGATCTAATTTAGCACAAATTTTTAATGACAAATTGTATTATTACCATGACAATGAGTAATATATTATTTAAAGGGGTCATATGATGCTGCTAAAAAGAACATTATTTTGTGTATTTGGTATAATGAAATGTGTTTATGCGGTTTAATAAAAAAAAAACACATTATTTTCCACATCCTGTACATTATTGTTTCTCCTCTATGCCCCGCCTTTTTGAAACGTG